AGCGGCGGGAGGCATTCGGCGTCCGGCCGCGGCTCCCGGGTCCTGGAAGCTGCCGGGCGGTTCTCCCAGGCCCGGCCCTGCACGCCCATAGCAGACAGGCCTCAGCAGAGAGGGCCTCCTGAGCCCGTTAGGTACGGCCTGGGCCGCCAGCAAGCCAGGTGAGACCTTGATGGGAAGCAGAAGACAGGTGCTCTCCCACATTCTCAACCAAATCTGACCACAGACACCGGCCCCAACGCTGCTTAATAGCTCAGGGCCCCCACTCCTGCAGGATCTGGGCCTCCTCACTCAGCGCTAAGCAGCCCCGGACCCACCTGCATCTCCTACCTGCAACCCCCACTCCACCCCCACTCCCCTTTGCAAGCTGACTCCTGCTCATCGTGCAAAGTCACCTCCGCCAGGAAATCCTCGGATCATTACAAGAGCTGGGACAATCTCCTCCTTTGTGTGCTCACAGTACCTGCCTTTCCTTGTGTCCCTGGAATTAACAAAGCTCTTGAGACTATGAGCAAGTCCCCTAACTTCTCTGCGTCCTCAGAAAAGGCAATGATACCTTTGTCTGTTGTAGCAATCTAGCCAGGAGAACTGTGATTTTGCCCTCAATCATCCTAGTTAGCTTCAGAACTCTTGGGAAGCAAAATGAAGTAATAGCTGTGAAAATGTTTGAGGAATTTAAACATGCCACAGGGACACTGTCACTGTCATTCCCTGCCATGTCCCCACACGTAGTCCCAACTGCTCATTCCTCATTTCTCCTTCCAGAAATGCCCCAGGTCAGAAGGGGATTGACAGGAACCTCTGTGCCCTTCACCCTCTGGATACTGAACCTCAGATCTGCAAGGTCAGTGGCCCAGTTCAAGGCGGGAGGTTGATGGTTGCTGAGTTCGCCTCCAAACCCCAGCTGGCCCAGCAGAGTTGCGGGGAGAGGTTCCCAGGGAATCTCTCTCCATAAGTGGCCCTTGGTCGCCACCTCTTTTCTGGCCCCTCCCTGGCCCTTTGGGGAGGATCCACCCTCTCCACTTCCCAGGCCCTGGAGACCCCAGGATGCAGCCAAGAACAGGCTCAGAGCACCCATATAGAGAGCAGAATACAGTGTACTTGGCCTGGATGCCGTCCCCGCAGCCGCTTCTGCAAAGGGCGTGTAGAAGAGCTGAGGGAGCTCAGCTGACTCCCGGTGTCCAATGGCGGGGTCTGCAAGAAAACCCCGAAAGTGAGTGAGGGGAGGGCTGCCGAGGCTGGGACACACAGCCCCCCAGGCCTGCCACAGCTAAGGGGCCTGTGAGAAGTCCCTCCAGGCACTGAGGGACCAGCCTCCCCTCACAGGAGCCAAACTCAGGAGGGCACCTGTCACAGGATAGGTCCTTTCACAGTCTTCATTCCTCACAACTGCTCTTCACGGGAGGAACCAGCGTTCTTATTTTACACATAAGGATCATGATTCTCATCAAACCCAAAGCACAAAAAGAAACAGCCAAGAAAAGGCGAATCCACGGAGACAGAAAGTAGATTACTGGTTGCCAGGGCTGAGGGTGGGCGAGAATGGGGAATGACTGCTAAGGGCGAGGAACTTCTTACTGGGGATGATAAAGGTGCCCTACATCTTTAGATAGTGATGGCTGGACCACCTGGGTGTGTAGTCAATCCCACTATACTGGACATTTCAAAGGAGTGGATTTTAAGATATGTGAATTACGTCTCAATAAAGCTGATACAAACCAGACGGAAAGAAAGAAGGAAGGGAGGAAAGAGAAGAAAAGAGAGAAGGGAGGGACAGGCAGGATGGAGCCTGGTGCTGGGGAACACGTTACACGTATTACCCAGAATAACCAGGCAGGCCTCTGGGTCCCACGTGTGTGCAGTGACAACCACAGGGACAGTAGATGGTATCTTTTGGGTGCTTACTCTGTGCTGGGGTCTCTGTTAGGTCCTTTATGTTCATTCTCACCCATTCTTCAAAGCCGTCCTATCAAGTGGGCCATCAGTACCATTTTGCTGAATATATTTTCCAGCTGAGGATGAGGATGCTGCCCACCTTGTTTTTATCAAGTAATGAAGTCTGACTCCAAAGCCCACACTTGGCAACCTCCTCGTTGCCCAGTAAGTAACTGCCATGGTAATAACTGCGAAAGCCCTGTGGTTGGATGTGGGTCTGACCTATCCGTTAAAGATCCCCCCAGAATTACAATAAAGCCTGCTCCAGAACTCCATTGCCCTCGGGGTCTAGAAGTACTTCCTTACGTCTCTCCCCAGTGCCTCCTGCTGTCAAGAAGACCCACGTCCCACCCCGGCTTAGCCTCGGCGGGCCGAGGGCTGGCAGGGGCGACCATCACGCACCATCAAAGCAGATGAAGGGTTTCAGGGAGGAGCAGATCACCGCAGAAACTCTGGGGGAGAAACTCCAGTAGCTGCGGAGCCCCGCACACAGTCCTGCCCCGAACTGGGGCACCTGCAGCCAGGCGGGGATGCTGCCGGGTCCCAAGTCGCTGGACCATCTCAGAGACCCGGAGGCCTTGTTGATGTAGAGGCCGATCCAGGCCTCAACCTTAGTCGTGATGGATTTCAAGGCCTCCTTGCCCATCTCGTCAGTCACCGTCTGCAGGTCGGCCAGGTCTGTGTAGTGTATGCGGCAGAACCTCAAGGCCGACAGCCAGTCCCTTTCTTGGTCAAATCGCTTGAAGATCAGCCCACCAATGCGGACCTCAGCTGCGGGCAGAGAACACAGAGACCGCAGGTCTGAGGTCCAGGATCTCCGCCTGCTTAGTCCTCATCTCCCCCAGGATGGAGCTCTGGTTTGACCCTGGCCCTCATCCCTGGTCCTCAGCTATTAGGTCTGATCAACTTTATAGGCAAACTAAATACCAGACTGGGAGAACGAATGAGCTATTCCAGCAGCAGCTAGGGGGAAGAATATTAATTAGGAAAAGCAGGGGTTAAGAACTGTCCTCTTGGCTGTGTGGCCCTACAAGTCCAGTCTAAGTCTCAGTTTCTCCATCTGTACAATGGGGATAACAGTGGTACCTAAATTTATTTAATGTTGAAGGAGTAAATGAAACTGTGTATATAATGGTTTTGCACAGTGTATGCAAATCGCAAACACTCAATTAAATGGTAGACTTAAACTTTGCGGGGAGGTAATGAGGGAGATAGGACAATCTGGTTTAGAATCAGCCTCATTTGTGATATCCAGGTTCTGTGCATGGCGCGCGGGCTCTCAGGAGGCTCCAAGGCTGAGGCAGAATAGAGGAAGTGTGTGATACTCCCAGCATCAGGACAGCCAGGGAGAAGAGGAGAGCCTGGCGAAGGGCACACTTGCCAGACGAAAGGCAGACCAGGCTCACCTTCTGTGGCCCTGATCTCCAGTGGAGCCAGGCAGACCCAGACCCCAGCCTCCACAGCCTGTCTCATCTGCAGCACATAAGCAGCTGTGATTCTGAACAAGGGGAGTTTGGAAAGGATGTGCTTTGGCACCACCCGAGGGACTGATTTCTGTTAAAGGAAACACCTCTGTTTGCAGAATTGGAAATCACAGCCAGATTCGAATCGGGCCTCCCAGACTCTCTGGCACATGTCTGCTCACATAAGCCCCATCAAGATTTGCCTGCTGTTTCCTTAATTTTCCTATCTAAACTGATCCTTTAAAGCTGCCCCTTTTTAAAGCACCTAGTCCTCGCCAGCCCTGAGCTTTGCATGTAGCACACATCATCTTTTAAAAGCCTCACTCTAATCCTGAGATGCGGGCGTGATTAACCTCATTTTACAGAGGAGAAAAGGGAGACGGGGGCGGGGCAGGGTGGGGCGTGATGACTTGCCCGAGCTCATGCCTTATTAAGCATCAGGATGAGACTCAAACCCAAGTCCTCCCGCCTTGGGAGCCTGCGCTGTCTTCACAACTCCGCGTTTTCCTACAGGCAGAGAACCGACTTTACAGATTGGGCAGTACGTTTCCTTTGAAATTTCTCTACACCAGACACGAAGAAACTCTTTTTAAACATACTAAGGCAGTAATATCCCCCTCACCGGACGGATGGGGCTGGCCTGTGAAGATGCATTACCCACGGCTCCCCCCAAAGCTGCTAAAATGGGGGCATCAGAAGACTGGGCTGCAGCCCGGGTGGAGCCCCCTCCCCGGGGGGACCAGCTGAATGACGAAGGCATTGAGTCTCTGCTTGGGTGGCAGGCTGGGGGCAGCAAAACCAGGGGACCCCACAGCCAGCCAGGGGTGCAGGGAGCCAGCTGGTCCAGACAAACCTGGGAAGGCAAAGCCCTGGGTGTGTACCTGGTTTCAGAAAGGTGGTCAGGCTGAGAGCCGGCCCCAGGAAGGTGCGGGACTCGACGGTGGGATCTGTGAAACAGGCCACGTGTTATGGGGCGGGAGAGGGGCTGCCCGGGGTCAGTCTGCAGGCACCAGGAACTGCCAAGTTGAAGCCTGGAGAAGCCTGGCTCCAGGGTAGACAGGCTTCTTTGTTTCCACCTACATATATAGTCCATAAACATATACATAGAGCGAGAGAGAGAAAGAGAATGTGTGCACCTGTTGTGTGGCAGACGCTATTCTAGGCCCTGGGGAAAGAGCAGGAATAAGACAAGCAAGGTCTTTGCTCTTGAAGAGAATGTGAGAAGGAGCCAGGCTTGCTGAGAGGTAGGAAGGAATAGCCCCGGCAAAGCTAGGGTGAAACACGGCCCCCGGGGTTTAAGGAGCAGAAAGCAGTCAGTGTGGCTGGGGACACAGGAGACCAGGCCAGAGAGCTCAAGCAGGGCCTGGTTGGCTCCAAAAAGGATGTGATGCTAAGTGCTAAGAACCAACTGAACGTGTTTAAGCAGAGTGGTGGGATTTACATTCTAAGAGTTCCCTCGTAGAAAAGAGACTGGAGCGGGCCAGGCAGACTCCGAGGAGAGCCGTGCTGGTGTGCAGACTTGCAGAGATGAGGAGTGGATGCAGCGAGGACAGGTCTGGGTGGGGTCCAAAGACTCCAGGGGGTGTTGGAGAAAGCCCTGCACGCAAAGCCCTTCCTTCAGAGGGACCCCTGCCCCCACACACCCACCCACCGCCCATGGGAATCTCGCTACTGGCCTGGGAAAGCCAAGATCAAACCTCAGTTACCATGGGCTACATTGCAAGGCCCCGTGACAGACAGTGTGGCAGAGAACTGTGGACACATAAGCTTCGTCCTCCAAATCCCTAGTTGAGGGGGTGGGGTGGTATAGATTTGGGCTGGGCCTTGGCTGACTGAGAGAAAAGCATAAATGGGCACTTTTTACTGGGAAAGTACTGTCTATTACCATCCCCCATGTGACCTCAGCACCTTTAAGACAAGGCTCAGTGGCGTGGACTGCCGGGGCAGAGGTGGGGCCAGACAGGGGCAAGGATCAGGGGCTGTTCCCCCACAGCCAGCACTATGCACATTGAGTAAATAGATTTTCTGCAGAGATGCCTGAAGGCGCAGGGTCCCACCCACCTTCCTCCCCGAAGCAGGGGTTCTCCCAGAGAGTGAGTGTTCGCCCCTCACCCCGTGACGCAAAGCCGCACCGCGCTTTATGGGGAGAGAGACCTCGGACTCTGGTTTCTGCATAGATTCAGATGGATCCCCATCCTGACCTTCCTTTTTCCCGTCCTTTTCTTTTTTCTCTTTCCCCAGATCCTTAATTAGCAGAAGCGGGAGATGTAATGGAACATTCCAGATTTTACTTTTTGTCTACCCTGATTTACACCCATTTCTCTGAGGGTCCTGGGAATGAGGGACAGAGGAGATAGATAGAAACAAGGCAGCAGAGAGGAATATAGCAAAAAGGGTTAAGATAATAGTTATTCTCTGAAAGACTTGAGCCAGACCTATGCTTGCTCTCTCTCCCTCTCTCTTTCTCATCTGCTCTTGAGAAGCACCACTGGGAGGAGGACCAGGCCCAGAGCAGGAGCGGACGCACCGTAGTAACAGATGAAGGGCTTTGGAGCTGTGCACGAGGCGGCCCCCAGGCTGGGGACATCGGTTATCGAGTACAGAGTGGCACAGAGGCCGTCCTCGTAGATCGGCAGGGAGCCCCACTCTGGGTCGCTGAAGGTGGAGCCGCTGGACCATCTCAGGCCACCCACGTGCCTGTCAAAGAAGAGCCCAACCCAGGCCGCGGTGCCGCTGCTGAGGGCGTAGAGGGCCGTGAGGCTGCTCCAGCCGCTCGTGCTCTGCAGGTCAGCCAGGTCTGTGTGGTGCCGCCGGCAGTAGTCCAGGGCCTCGTACCAGCTCATCTCCTCCTCCACCCTCCAGAAGGTCTTGCCGTCGCTGGTCAGCTGCAGGGCTGGGGAGGGAGAGGTGGTCACCACATGGCTGCCCCCGTGCTCCCCCCAAATCCCAGGCGCTCAGCCACAGCACCGGCAGCCTCCCCAGCCTCTCCTCTGCCATGCCGCCCGTGCCGCCAGCCCTCCACGTGCGCACAGCTCTGGGCCTTTGCACAAGCCGCTTTCTTGGCCTGAAAGGCTGGCCATCCCCACCTGTTCCCTCAATCCCCGACTCTTCCCATTTATCCCCCCTTCCCTCTGCCCCATCCCGGGTGGGCTCCCTTCCTGTAAGAGGCAGCGCGCCTTAGTGCTTAATAACCATAGAATGTGTGTACTGAGCGCTCACCCTGTGCCGCTAGCTTATTGAATCCTGTCCAACAACTCCCCAGGATAAACACAACTACGCTTGTTTTACAAATTAAAAGACCAAGTCACTGAAAGTTAAGTGACTTAGCCAAGGCCACCCAGTGGGGAGAGAGAAAGCCAGGACCCAGGGACCACAGGCGGGGCTCCCAGGGCGCGGCCCTCAGAGCGTGGTTCTGCCCTGGTGTAGGAGGTGTCACAGCTGTAACTAGGGCTACACATTAGAACCGCATGGGGAGCTTTTCAAATACACCGGTGCCCAGGCCACCCAACAACGGTCTGAGTCTCTTGCTGGGACCAGTGTCAGAATTCTTTTTTAAAGCCCCCGAGGAAAAGAACAGGACCTTTTGGCTTGTCTGTCTTCATCACCAGGTCCAGGCAACTTGGGACAAAGAACCAGCCTTATTTATCCCTCTATTCCCCGTGCTCAGCACGTCAGAGGGGCTGGATGTAATAAAAACGAATGAACGAGTGAACAATGAATGAATGCATCAAACTTCACCCTGAACCCCAAGATCTCAGTGTGTGCTTCTCTCCTTCCTGACTCCATCCCCTGGTGGAGGGCCCAGCACATGAGGGCTGGTGAGGACTACTCTGCTCCACCCAGGGCCTGCGGGCAGAGGGGGAGAGAGGGATGAAGGACAGATGTGCTGCCAGGATCTTGGGGTGGGGGAAGGGGGCCTAGGCCTTAAGGAACCAACCTCAAGCCAGACGCCCTTGGAGAGGAAAAAAAAAACAAGAAAAAAGAAGAACCAGGCACGCAGAGGGCAAGGATGTGAACAGCAGGGGAAGACACGGGAAAGGACTGACAGGGCACCTGCCGAAAAGAACGCCACTCCTGACACCCACCAGAGGCCAAGAAGATGCTGCCTGTCGCTGAGAGCAGCTGGAGGATCCCTGGGCGGGAGGAAGAGAACAGAAAAAAATCACTCTTTCTTATGATGTGTGACTCACTTTGAATTTTTTTTTTAATCCTCTTCTGTTTAATTGTTTAAAAATCACTGG